TGCTCACGATCAGGTCAATAAATAATTAAGTATTCTTAAATTAATTACATCGCAATTTCTAGGCTTTCAGTACATTACAAATAAGTAGCTAAGGTAAATTGCTTGTTTACTTGATTTTATTAACTATCAAGTTAGGCTCCATGACTTTCCAGGTAATCATTTCGTAATTACAGTTCAATGTGTTTAAGAACAAGATAATAAGAATTATACTAAACATAAACATGATTGACTTTTCTGATGAAAGCAGAAGTATACGGCTCAAGTTAAGGTAACCATTGCGCATGCTTCTGTTCAGGTAGAAACCCCCAATTTGATAAAGACCATTTAAATGAAATGCATTTTACTTTATTATGTTTGTTAGGCATCGCGATCGACGGATGTCGCCAAGCATGAACATTAGTTGCATTGATGTATACAGAACTACAGAATAGAGACAGTGCGACCGCATCTTACCGGCCGCCGCTGTTGTCACTGCGGTGTTTCGCGGGCGGGCAGATTTATTTGGACGTACCCCCATCGGGGGGGGCGCGGGGTCGGGCGTACCACCCACCGCGCCACCTCCACACATTTGACTGGATCAATAAGTAAGCAAAGGATGCCCGAGCAGAAAAACCATACACCCGACCACCCCAAGGGGGCACACGTAACCGACACCCCCCCACTAGCGGGGGGACGACTCCACAGATTGCCATTTTCTCTTTGCCTACGCTTTAATTAGTTGCGTAGTGACGCGTGTAGATCCATAATCCCATGTTATTAAATTGCCAAACAGGTCCGGTCCACTCTATCAAACGAGGCAGACCACTAGAATCAAGTAGGTCCGTACATTATACACATTAGTGTGCTCCCATAAACTAGTAGTAATTACTTACATATGACCGAACACGGTCAAAACGTTTATAAAGGAATAAGCTAATATTACTTAGCCAAAGATATTTTTAATATTATGTAGTAGTATCCATTTCGGCTCTACGATATTTCACTCGCAATGACTTTGTCACGAAGATTAGATAAAACCACAGATAATTCATGAGTTCTTGTACACCATATTACACATGAAATACATACTTAACAAAGCTCCTTCTTTGCATGCATGCTTATGCTCCTAACTTTGCTCATACATATTCATATAGAAGACTTCGAAAGCTGAACTTTTCTATGCAACCTTTGTTGAAGTGTCATTTAGGGAGTGAGAGACCCACGAACAATTTTTGACCACTGTGCCTACACGCCCTTATTAAATATGTATGACAAACTACTTGCATCAATATATTACAAGTAGACCTTTTCAGTTGACTCCCGAAACTAAACCCAATTTCCTGATGAAAGCAGAAACTCTATATGTAAAGTTATTTTACATACTTAATTTGTGTATTTCGACAAAAGTAAAATAAATTAAGCAAGTGACAAAGTGTATATACATATAAGCCTATGAAAACAGATTGTCCAATGTTTTCCGACGTGTCCTGCCTTTTCTTTGTTTAAAACATCAGATACTCGGTACAATCAATATTTTGTTCGGATGCCAAAAAGGGAAACCACTTGAAGTACAGGTGGTTCCCTCAATGTTATATCTCCTAATCGCAGTTCTTAATTGTTGAGAAAAACAGAAATGTAATAGTTCTATAAAGTTAAAACGAAACGCTTTATTAAAATTTACCTAAAAACGTTACTGTTACTCTGATGAACATAACTATCATAACTGTTTTGTATTCATGCGACTCGCATGTTGTCTGTCGTCATTCCGCATTCCATTTACTTCTAGGAATGTTATGACAAAATGCACAAGTACCATAATATCGTAGAGTACACTATTATGCTGCACGTCGAACTTAAGACTAGGACCATTCACTTTGTTCCTGGCCCTAAGATTGAATTACAAATCAAGCTATTGCAGTAACCTCTCTAGTCTCTGAATTGGAAAAAATGAGACTTACATTTGTCATTTAAATTTCACAACTGATTGTTTTGTCGTTTTCAGAATATTGATAAGGTATATCATTAAGCCACAAAATGTATTTGATGTGCTTGTCTTTCTAGATTTCAGACAATTCTACCTCATACGAGATACCAAAATTTTAAGACAGCTTTGTCTTAATTGAAACAATCCCCTAAAAGCCTCGTAATGGGATCTCTTTAAAAATTATTGCTTTCTAATTTCAACCAATCATGGTGCAAATTACTTGCCAGTAAAAAGTGGTTTGGTGTAAAGCTGTGATTTTTACGGGCTTCTCGCATCGGGCGTCTCAAGATCGAGTCGAGTGCGCCCTGGCTCTTTCCTCACGATCGCAATCGAAATAATTATCATAAAGTAAATCCCCCGCAATTCGGCGGCCGCCCCGGGGCCGGGGCGTCGCGGTAAATGGCGGGCCCTCGCCGTCGCGACGCTCTAGTGATGTGTATCTGTGTCAGCAACACTCTGTCATATCGATGAAAAAAGAGTATGTCAATTGATCTACAGGTATAACTTGCGTAGTCAAGGTTATGCGATTTTATATTTTTACATAAAATAGTATTAAGTAACTTTATAATGATTCTAACCAAATTCTGTACATCACTTCCTGATGGTTAAAGTCTCCTATGATTTAGCAAAAATTCTCTATGAAATGGGCTTAAAGGTTAAAGTTATTGGTCAGACGTATGGTTGGTGTATAATAGTAACATTTTTTTAGCATCATCGATGTTCCTGTAAACTAGGAGAGCGACGCACTACAATCCCATAGCTCTTGGTGGAGAGCGAAACAATCGCGTTTCCAGTTTTTACCCCACACCGCTCTCATCTCGTATTGGCGACGGAATTAAATTCGCTTGTTTTACCGTTTTCCCCTCCTTGGTCTCTTTTATTCATTTATCTTATTAATGCCAATAATTATTTTACAGCCAATCGCAATCTGGGTTATTGACATATTCTTAAATTTTATAATTTGTTGCAATTTTGTTGCAAACTTTTAGACCGATTGCTACCGAGAACTCTAGTGAAAACTGCACATCTGTCGAGTTAAAGCACACCCCATTTACTTCTAAAATCGCTTAGTTTACCAAACTTTGCTTTTATTATTATTCGTGTGTGATTAGTAAAGTGTCTGCTTGGTAATAATAAGTAGCTAATACAATATACACCCCACAACAACCCCACCCCTATCCGTTGGCCGCGTCCCTCGACGACCGACGTCCATCTTAACGCAAACTCGCAACCTAATTTGTTTAATTCTGATTAAGTAATGTATCAATAATTATTGGAACTAAGTATGGATATAGGTATGTAACATGTTTGATATTGGAGAAATCTTGGCGCGTGACGCGACACAAAACCGGGTGACTTTGGGCCGCAGGGGTCGCGCTTTTGTCTGCCCGTGGGGACGGTTGTCCCTTGTGTGTTTACCTTCGACAACGCCCCGTTTCACTTTACAATGCTACAGAAAAACAAAATAACTGTTAACTCTGCTTTCGATTAAGTATAATAACAAATAAATGGAAATAATCGCAGTTTTTATATTTAAGTCAGTTATCGGGGTTGTTAGGCTTTCGATTAATCTTTAATGAAATATGAGTTGTACATGTCGCTTAACATACGTTAAATTGGTTGGAATTTTAAAGGTCAGTAGCAATTTAATTTCAAAAGTCTGGGTGTTTTCGAGAAAGGAACTTAACAAAAGAAAATAAAAACATTTATATTTATTCGAAAGACAGGTGCGTAAAGATATTCTTTCAGTAACTCCAAGGACTTCAAGATGGGTAAATGGATGATATTTATTGTCGAATAACAATAAAGATGTCTTGTTTTGTGGCTACGCTTATTTATTTAATAAGAATAAAACGCAATGGCCGACATGTTGTGTGATACGCGTAGGTACAACGCGTGTCGTAATGGCGGTCGGTACATCGGCACATAAAAATCATAAGTTGACGTGGACATGTTTCGCAACGCACCTGCCTACTGTCGGCCGACCGGCGACCGGCGCGACTGTTGAGAACTTGCGATCGTCAGGCGTTAATAGCAACTCCACAACCCATAGTCAACTCCAGATATGCTCAGATTCCTTTCCAGTCAACACATGAATGAAGAAGTCCTAATAAACTTTACGACCCATAAACCATTCATAACACCTTTCACGATAAACGATGGATTTGCACTAGTACTAAATCGCCGGTGTTATGGACATTATTAGTATTGTCCGCAGTAAGGGTCCCCTCACTGTGATCCAAGTGCATCGGTAATAGGTACGCGCAAGGCAACCATGTTTCCGCTGTTACGCAAATCACACTAGTTGGCCACTCGACCGCCGACCGCCGACCGCTCTCCACACTATGGGACGCGGTGATTCATCAGTAGGTACACAACTTGATGTTAATAAATACGAGATGATGTCTTGCAAAATCGTAATGTTGATTACAATTGCACTCTCTGTACACTACTCGTAGTTATGTTACGAAAATTCATCTTGAGGACTATTGATCATTTTCAGATTAGACTTGAAATTGATTTAGCCCAGGCTTTTCGTTGAAGTACTTATTAATTTCTAGGGCCTAGTTTAATAGTCTAGTAACTAGGCTATTAAAATATAAATCATCACAATCCAAACAAAGCGAAGCCATTCAATTTTTAATTAAGTAGTCTCTAATGATACTCAACCTTGTAGCTATGCAAATTTTTACTAAATTACATGTCGTAACCTTCGAGATAATTGAAATACTAAAAAGAAAACCTTTTATATTCATTTTGAACTTAAGTATGAAATCGAAAACATACTTACCCAATATTGCCCGCGTTTTACTTAAGGGTGAAACTTATCATGTTAGGTTTCGTTTTCGTGTCCTGTACGTGTGTACGTGTACATTTGTTACGTACATGTTTTCTTCTTCCTTATTTGCTGAGTCAAACACAAATAAAAGGTCAAGAGGTGACCTATCAATGTTTTATAAAACTGTATTATCAACTGACTTTATTCCCGTATCCCTAAATATCAGACACTTCTAACATATGAACTTGAATGTTTCAGCGGCGATGGAGGAGGAATCTAGCGAGTTGCCAGGCACGGACGGCCTGGCGCCCAAACAGCGACACCAGGCGAAACACCGGGAGCTGTTCTTATCTCGGCACGTGGAGACACTGCCGGCAACACACATACGCGGCAAGTGCACCGTCACGTTGCTCAACGAGACGGAGTCGCTGCTCAGCTATCTCAATAAGGATGTGAGTATGTACCGGCCACGGACGACAACAACAACCGAATCATAGAAGGTCCACTCCACCTTGCCCAATGAAGTAAGAGTAACTAAATACTTTTATAGGATAACTAATTTTTTTTGTTATCATTGGCAACAGCTTTCAAGATAATCAAAAATGTGTAAAAACAAATATGTCAGGCATAGATAGATATCTCTGTATAATGAAACTAACTTGAAATGTTAGGAGTTGACCTTCTATGTTTTTTATGAAATGTGTAAACATTAGTCCTACTAGTATATTGTAGTTGTAGTATGAGAATTCATATTGTTTCTAAAACAAATTTTTGCGCATACCTAGTTATCTGAGTAGTAAATCTCCATGTGGGAAGTATGTTACCAAAGATAAAATTAACATTAAACATTGCATCCAATAATCCAATTCTAAAATAAACTGACTTTAGATTAATCTCGATTTTAAATTTTGACTACAATAGCCAATCACTCTACTTATCACTCAAGTACCACATTTTATTCATCTTAAGACTACAATATTAGTAAAGTTATCGACTATCCAATAAATTATAATACTAATGTGTTATATAACAATGTTTATTTTCCATAAATATAATATATTAAAATGTGCCACCTATTTTATAGACTCAATGTCATGAGGTATAATGGCGTAATCTGTTTCTGAGAATAGTATGTCCTTTATCCTGTTAGTTAGTTAGTTAATTAATTAATTAATTTCCTTTTTCAAATTATTGATTATTATTGAACAAACAGTATTATATATTTATAAAACATAAATTTGGTATATGGCAATAGGCTCACCCCCTATTACATGGGACTCATGACATAAATAGTGAAAAGTGGGTGTTACATTGTACAGTGGCATAATGTGCACCTCTGCCTACCCCTTCGGGGATAAAAGGCGTGATGTTATGTAAAACATAAATTTGAACATTTTAATAACTATATAATTTTAATATTATCTCCTGTATCCTATATCTTGGCGATCTTTTAATCATTGTACAAATAACAAGCTTGCGATTTCAAACTTCTATAACTAATAATACAACTGGTAGCAAAGACACGGAACCACTACATACTTGTATTAGAAATTAATTATAAATAAATAAAAATATAAAAAACGATCCTTTGCTCCCAAGCGTCAATCATATCTTAGGTATCATTAACAAAATAGTTTACTATCAAAGTCACCAATCAGTGAAGAGATTCAAAAGAGAACAATTTCTGTTCAGCCCACTCATTCCAAAGTTCACCAATAAATACGATTGTATACAAAGTGCTAGTAAAACAGAAACAGTAGGTACTAAACATAATTAGAAATCTCCATATTATAGTGAACTCATTGCTAGTCATTCGTCCGCGACATTATACAACTTACGTGGGAAGATTAACAACTGATACAACTATACTATAAATTACTTTAATTTCATTCCCTAATCAACGTCTCAACGTGGGACTTTCTATTGTTATGTTATCAATTTTCTTTTCTAATTACCATACATATTATGGTGATATGTTATATACACAACTATTTTTATTATAATACTGACATGAGGGTTTCAAGTAATCTAAAGGTATTCATTATCTTATTTGATTTTTAACTCTAATATAATGTGTATCTATCGTACGTATAAGTATTTTATTGAGATCTATTTATTCAATACATTATTTATCGGTTATATTTTGTGTATGTAGTTTAAATTACTTATTGGCTTAAATTTTTTTATTTCTTAAATTTTTTTATTTTTATTTTTTTTTTGTTCATGCCATGTTACACACAATGTCTTAGTTTTTACTCTTTTTCCTGTCGAAGGACTGCAGGAAGAGATTCCTACGGGAATATGTAGTACATATGTACCTCCAATTTATTTATATAATGTATTCTCCTGTGTACTGTCTGTGTGTTGTGCATAAATAAATAAATAAAATAATTAAGTTGAAAATTGCTATAGGCAATTATGGTACTTGGATGTACTATCTATAAATGTTTCTGTATGACTATCTTGACTAATGAGTACTCATCCCGTTCGTTTCAAGGTTAGGTCACACAACCGCTAACAATCTCAATTAGGAAATGTCAACACGCCCTAATCTGATGTCATTTCCTATAGTTAACAGAGTTAGTAACTATATTAACAAATATTGTTACATACATGTAAATCCTCCTTATAGTATTTGCTCTATACAAAGCCAAATCATGTCAATTTCAATATATTAAAAACGAATATGCTAATTCTAATAAAAATTAATATGCTAATTTTTGACACTTAAGCAAGTTTTATCTTAGTGTATACTTGAAGTTGACATTAAAATGAAATTCATTAGGTTTTTTTGAGTAGATGGAATTAATGTGATTGTATTGTTAGACAAAATGTTGTGTACACCTAAAATTTAATACATTTTTCTCTCTTTTGTTTCAGGACGCATTTTTTTATTGTTTAGTATTTGATCCTTCACAAAAGACTTTATTAGCAGATAAGGGAGAAATCAGAGTTGGAAGTAGATATCAGACTGAAGTAACTAATTTATTAAAAGATGGTATGTATGATTTTATGCATAAACTCCTTACTAAAATTAGAATGTATTCAATACAATTTACCAATTCTAGATAATCACACTGATCTAACAGACTTTGTTCTATTCCCTTTAAATACTTATAAGATAATAATTATAAATATACTTAAATAAGAATCAGCTAGACTAGTCCAACTTGATTACCTATACATCTATACATTTTACAATAAAGTTTTATTTCCAAAGAATGTTGCTTATGTAGAAACATTAAATCATAAACATTATCATTCAGATTTCCTTGTTATTTGTAAATTGTAGGCGAGGAGGACGTCCGTAACAGCGAGGAGTTGGAGACGCTGGTTTGGACGCCGGAGCACGGGCTGACGGACCGACAGATCGACCAGTTCCTGGTGGTATCGCGCTCCGTCGGCACATTCGCGCGCGCCCTCGACTGCTCCTCCTCCGTCAAGCAACCCTCGCTGCACATGTCCGCCGCCGCAGCCAGCCGAGACATCACACTCGTTAGTATTACTTACTTATACCTGAGCAGTGAAAACCAAAATCCTCCTCCATTATGGTGGAATGCAACGCACTAGTAACTCCTCTGGTAATCCGGGTACACTCAGTAATCCAGCATAATATAGGACAGTTAGTGCTAACCCCCCTGCTATAGGAAACTTTCGAAGTAAACATCGCTTGTGTTGTTTCGTCGTGTCTAATTACCCCCTCCCCAATCCTTGAATCCCCAACAATTCTCAAATTTCTAATCTCCAAAAGGCCGGTAACGCGCTTTTTTATGGGATAAACCAAATCAAATCACTCAAATGCATCTATAGTGTGTACAGGGTGGTTTACCATTTTTGACGTAATGTGTTCCAACTATAGGCCCTTTTGGGCACCGCAAAAGTACTTAGCCCGCCGCAACATCCCAAAACCACTGCAACTCCTCTGGTAACACACTTGTAATACCTCTGGTGTTTCAGGTGTCCATGGGCGGCGCCTATTGCTTACCGTTAGGTGATCCGTCTACTAGTTTACCAGTATAATTATAAAAAAATAGAGCTAAAATATGATACGCAAAAATCCACAATGCTGTACAAGGAATATCTATTGAAATAATTTGCATCCACGCAACGCCAGTTTTGCCTATAAACTGTGCTTTAAACTGCAACTTTTAGCTAGCTTATAAAAGAAAACTTTAGTACTGAGCTGATGAGAGAGTGTCAGCGTAGTTTTTTTAAGTCATAGTGAGCCGAGGGGTCACCCTACTATGGTAAGCAATTAGCACGCTTATGCACCTGCAACACTAGAGGAGTAGAAAGTTGCTTTGTGGATTAGGGATTTGGGGATTCGGGCTTAAGGACGGGGAGAGCATTGGGATTTCGGTAACCTCACTCATACACGTAACGTGATCATTTATTTTTTGACCCAAAACGGGATATTTATTTAGATCCTGTAGGATCGGATAGGAGGAGATAGGACCTGTAAACACAAACTTTGTGCCCACAACAAAAAGGTACCATTACTAACTGCACAGAAATGTAGTTAAAGTTCTTTCGACTTTACTTCGTCAAAAATTAGCTTGTTACGTATGACGCTGTATCACTCTCGTACACCACTCAAATCGTTCGTGCAGTCGTCACATAGGTTTGACTATTCAAAGATAAAGACATCTATTTGCGTAAAACATGGTATACAAAGGTGTTTTGTTTACAGTAGATCGTCATGTTTTACTTAATAAATGTAAAAAAATTGTTAAAACGCGTAGTTACCGATGTTCATTTCGTGGACAACAGGACTCGTAATTATAATAAAAACGGACAGTCCGATTCAGTACAGTCAGATTTGACGGCACGGTTGGTGCGGTGACTGGGCAACCGGCTGCCGTGCAACGTGTCGCGGGTTCGATTCCCGAACTACACTTTGTGTGATCCACAAATTGTTGTTTCAGGTCTGGGTGTCATTGTGTATGTGAACTTGTATGTTTGTAAACGCACCCTAGACACAGGAGAAGATCCAAATGTGGGGAAACGTTTTTTAAAAAGAATAAATTAACGATGTATCTTTCTCAACAGTTCCACGCGATGGATACCCTGCACAAATCAGGCTACAGCATAGAGTCTGCGCTGTCCTCGCTAGTGCCCGCATCGGGCCCAGTACTCTGTCGCGACGAGATGGAAGAGTGGTCTGCCTCCGAGGCCAATCTCTTTGAAGAGGCGCTTGACAAGTACGGCAAGGACTTCGCTGATATACGGCAGGACTTTGTGAGTACTAATGTTATTCTATACACTATGAAACATACTAAAATAGTTTTAAACTTAAAAGATATGTTAAAAGATTATGTTGTATGTATGAGATATTTTGAAGGTTAAAAAAGGTTATACGTTCTCTTATATCGGAATCCTCCTGACTGCCTCGTTGGCCGAGTTGTCGCAATTGCGACTGCCGGGTAAGGGGTCTCGGGTTCGATTCCCGGGTCGGGCAAAGTATTACTGGGTTTTAAAAAAAAAATCTCAGTAGTAGCACGGAGTCTAGAACTGTGCCCGGTAAATGGCAATAGGCTCACCCCCTATTACTTGGGACTCATAACATAAATAGTGAAAAGTGGGTGTTACATTGTACAGTGGTATAATGTGCACCTCTGCCTACCCCTTCGAGGATAAAAGGCGTGATGTTATGTTATGTTATATCGGAATCCGATCAGCCTTTTTATCGAAATGTCATAAGGAAAATAATTTACTATGACAAGCAATAAAAAGTAATCAATAACTTCTTATACATGGGCAATTCTAATAGATGTTAAAAACAATTATGACATTTTCTTATTTAGTTCCGATTTTTTTTAACACCAGATAAATTTTAACTAAGGAATAACTTCATGGACATTTGACAATAGGGACTACCCTATAGTCTGTCAGTTAGATAATAAAAAAAGGTATCGTCATATATATTATATCGTCGAAAGTATTTAGTTTTATGAGAAAATAAATAATTAATCTACCAGACTAAAAACTGTCTTCTATCAACTATATTCTATCATTCTATAGTAAAAAATAAACTGATGATTGAAAAACTGGCTCTTAATATCTTATTTAACACTACTCGTTTATCTTCAAATTATTTATTTCATCTTGTTAAAATGCATCTAATCAAAACCAGGACTTTAATCGGTTTGATTAAATCATGATTACCTGCAATTAATTAGTAAACATGTATTTAAATAATATTTTTCTACGCCCAGTTGCCATGGAAGACGCTAAAGAACCTTGTAGAGTACTACTACATGTGGAAGACGACAGACCGCTACGTGCAACAGAAACGCGTCAAGGCGGTGGAGGTCGAGTCCAAGTTGAAACAAGTGTACATTCCCAACTAGTGAGTGTTTGTACCACACGATGCATACTTATATCGATGTGATCTTCTGTTGCCCTTTATCTAACGTTTTTATTTTGCTTTACATAACTTTACATTGCTATTGTTTTACATAAATGACGGCTTCTTATTTTGATATAAATATAGCGTACTTTTTTGTATCGGGATACTAAATAAGTTGATGAAATTGCAGCAACAAGCCGAACCCGGCCTTGATAACCAGCAACAGTAGCAGCGGCAAGGCGCCCGCCGTCCTCAATGGAGGCACCAACGGCACCGCCACCGTCACCGCTGCGCAGCTCTGCGCCTCCTGCCAAGGTAAATAACTGATATTACCTAATGTAACCAACTGATAAAATATTAAATAAACCATTTTGGATATATCATCGTAACTCTGTGTAAACTACAAATAAAGTAGTTAATTTTGCAAATATGGGTAATGCAATAATAACATGTAGTGTTGTTTACATTAAGAGCGAGACTTTAAATCAGAAAAATAATAAGAAAGAGTGAATTTGTTTCAGTGACAAATTCTAACCAGTGGTACACATGGGGACCGCAGCATTTACAATACAGACTTTGCGGCACATGCTGGCAATACTGGAAAAAGTATGGAGGTCTCAAGGTAAAGGTCTGAACGTATTCTTATTTTTTTCACAAATTTGTTTGTTCTCAAACTTAGAACATGTTGTTAATATTGTTGTATCTGTGACAGACCGCTGGAGTTTTTGGCGAGACCGAAGTAGAAGCCGCGAAAGGTCCTCGTGGCGAGGGCGAAGACACCGCACTGTCTGTGTCTCATCGTCCACATCGTTGTACTGTTCTTAATTGCGCTAAGGTATGTTCCTAACTTGCACATCGAAATACATGGGGACCTATAGAAAAATGACTAATACTCATGGCGTTGTGTGCAGGAGTTCAAATTGCGCGCGCATCTGGCGCGGCACGTGGCGACCGCGCACGGCAGTAGCGAGGGCGCGCGACCCGTCATGAAGACGCGCGCCGCCTTCTACCTGCGCGCGTCGCCCTTCACGCGCCTGGCACGACGCCTCACGCGCGCGTTGCGCCGCCCACGCCATTACGCACGCTCGCCTTTCTCGCCCATCAACCTGACGCAGGTGAAGCACGAGTGCAGCGCCGCCATGGCGGGGCTGGGGGCCGCCGAGCTGCGCGCGGCCGGCGCGGCGGGCGCGGGCGCGGCACGAGTGCGCGGGCCCGTGGGAGCCGTGGCGGCACGCTTGGCTGCGGCGCGCGGCACGCCGCCGGCGACAGGGCGCCACGACTGGCTGACACTGACGCCGCGCGACGCCATGCCGCACCCGCCACACGTCGCCTTCCCCAAGCCGCCTAAGGCGCCCGGTACGTCGGCATGTTATTCAAACACACACCTTATATTCAAATATTCATCCTTTTCTTCCTACTCTTATCCTAAATACTTGGGGTCAGTCCAAAATAACTATCAATATCGCCTTATCACAAACTACTCTTCATCTCCATTCTCTCAAAAACTGTCTTACTCTTTCAAACTTTCTCTCACATTATTTTCATCCCTTCTCAATACATATGATCAACTATACTAGTATGTTATTTGCTTATTTATTTGTGTTACACCGCACATACACACTCTAAAAATTGTGCCTGCACGTTGGTGCGGTGGCTGGGCAACCGGCTGCCGCGCAACGTGTAGCGGGTTCGATTCCCGCACGAAGCAACTCTTTGTGTAATCCACAAATTGTTGTTTCGGGTCTGGGTGTCATGTGTATGTGACCTTATTTATCTAAATTCCAATCTAGTACATTTTTAGTAAAAACAAACGCGATCACAGCTGATAACGTTGATCGTAACTTTCATTGAGCATTGCCATAGTTTTAATGTGGTGGTTCCTCAAACATTCGTCGTCATTCTTAAATTGACAAACTATATATTGTTGAAGCAGATGACATTATAAATAACAATTATTTTGTTTTGTTTCTAGATGGCAGCCTGATGTATGAACGTGTATTGTCACGCGCCGAAATAGAAGCCCGCCGCGCGGAAGCTGCGCCGGCGCAACCTCTAAAACGACGCGCCTACGATGACATAAATGGCCTCGACAGTCAGTATCGATGCATTTCAAAATAATATTAGTGAATTTGGCATTGTATATTGTAGTAAAATAAAAATATATTTCGTATTCAAAATTAACTATATCGTATTTTTTCACGCTTTCACGGAAATAGCGACAGGTATGCATCAGACATTTCCATAAATAAATACATTTGCTATCATTTCTATTAAATTAGTTCATGCATGTAATGTTGACAAATATTTTGAGTAGTATAGCGAAGTTCGATCGGCGTAGTACTGACGTAGCGTGTGTACAGGAGGTGCGCGCGAGGGCGGGGAGTGCGCGGCGCCGCCGCCGGCCAAGCGGCCCAACAAGCACCCCGCGCCCATGCAGCGGCCCTCGCGCGAGCAGTACGCCGCCATGTGCGCGCGCGCGCAGGCCACCGGCCAGCCGCTGCCCGCGCATGTCTTTACACACGTATGTACCGCCAACACTCGATCCCCAAAACGCACTCCTCAGAGATGTCTATGGGCGGCGCCGATTGCTTACCACCAGGTGATCCGTCTACTCAAAGTCAAAGCATTTATTTCAATCAAACAATAGTTAGGTACTTTTGAAACGTCAACAATCAACTCAGCCTAAAAATCCATTCCCTTTACCTTCTTTTCTGTCTGAGGTTGGTACAGTACAGGCCAACTGTACCAATCTCTGACCGCGCCTGTATGTTTAGGTGAACGGCAAGCCGACCAACATTAGTGGTAGAGGCGGCCGCAGACACGTGATCTCCTGGATGGACGCGCCAGACGACCTCTACTTCCGAGCGAATGACACCGCCAAGTGAGTATAACCGTCTTGTAATTATCGTTTAAGTTCACTTGGATCCATGATCTATAAATCATCAAAAACCATTTACTTTCACAGCGTACCCGGTATTCCAATCGATACCTTTCATCTTCTTTGTTAAGACCGTTTTGCTCAATGAGTTCGGCTAGTTGGGTTCGATCTACTGTTATTTCTGTTGCTAATCTTTGCTGAAATTAGCTGTGACAGTTAATAGTTTTCAAATAGAATCTGATATAAGCAAGATAAAGACTGTGTTTAGTGACAATTGCAGAATTCATAGTGGCATATGAATAAATGAGTATGTTATGATCAGAATGGCGCGACGCAGCCTGTCGTGCGGTGAGCTGCGACGTGGCGCGCGCGCCCCCTGGCGGGCGCTGCGCGGGGGCGCAGTGGCGGGCGGGGGCGCTGGGGGCGCGGCGGGTGGCAAGGCTCTGGGCGGCGCGGCGCCGCTGCAGCTGGTGATCCTGGACTGACAGCCGGCGCCGCGCCCCCGGCCCCCGCCGCCCCCGCACCCCTACACCATGGAGGCGCTGCTCGGCTGAGCGCGCCCGCTGTATATTCGCGCTGTACATACCCCGCGAGGCCGTCGCCGCCGCCGCCGCCGCCGCCGGGGACCGAACGAAGATTGTATTTTTGGTAATCGAATCGCCGAGGACGGATTCTGTAGATAATATTTTAAACTATATTGTTCTTATGTGGTTTGATCTGGCGTCGAGCAAAATAATGTATTTGATACATAAAACGATATGTAAGTCTAATTCATTCGGAGATTCATTGTAGGATAATTTACAATTTTTTTCATAAATAAAGCACAAATTGAAATATAGGTTTGTTTCATTTTTCACAACTTTCCCATGACCCTTCTTTTTGTGTGTATGTATATACTTTACATTTGTGTCGATTTTTCCCGGATTTGTTATTCTGTCTTAATGTAAAATTGTAAGATAACAATAGGGATGGGACCATCACTGAAATATAAAAATAATTATGTATAGTGACTGATTTTTTTTTCTTTCTGCATTATTCCATCCTACTTGAGATTGTGTTAATAATACTTATTTAAAAATTAAATGTTTTCTGTTTTAATGAATAATAAGATCCTTTCATATTTACAATCATTTTATGATTAACTTCTGTCTGCAACATCGTTCGCCCAAAAAGGTGATTTCTTTTCATACCGATGTCAGGGTTTTAGAAACCCTATATTTAAACACAGGCCTATTACCTATACTATAATCAAATCCGTCCATTCATTCCATAGACTATAACCGTACAAACAGCTTATTTTTTTCTCTGTGACCGACTGGCTTTTTATTTATCATCCTTTTTTATTAATTGGTTAGCAACAAATGTCTGGTAAACTACAGCAGATCGTTTTATTCTTTCTTGCACTACCAAGCCGTTATCCACACACATTACTCACTTTTTATGGGACAAGCCTTTCCAAAACCACTGCAGTTACCTGTAACTGAAAATGTTGCTAGCTAGCATGCAGCTGGTTACTAGCTAGTAACCCATGTAGAAACCCATAACCGTGAAAACACTGAAACTATGAGGCCCGGTGCATAATTTTATAATAAAAAAATAGTTAAATATTCTCTAAATGAAAGGCATATGTATGTATGAAAATTACTTGGTAAACTGCAAAATATTATAGTGCGGAGTAGTAAAATGGTTATCATTAGGGATCTACGCAAGTATGGAGCTAAACAGAACTTAGTGGTGCACTAAGAGTTACCAGTGCCTGTTTTAGTATTAACCATACAAAAATTCGCCTGGAGCTTTTTCATAGATAAATCTGAAAAATCCATGAGAAGACTTATATTGAGATAAGATCATTTATTTAGACACTAATGAAATATGGTAAGGGACAACTTAAAATAATGTGAGAAAACCTAATTTATATGTATGATTGTGGTGATTAGTGCTAATTCCTTCTCCATGTAACAAACCTTTCTCAGTGTGACAGTTACAGGTTAGCCTGTAACATAGTTAGCAATGATGATAAATGATATTGAGTATGGTATACAGACGTTTTACATTTCAAGTGTGAGGCATATGTATTTTCGTTGTTTACAGTATTACAGTACATAATAATTAGTAGCAATGTGGCTTGATGATGAGCAGAATATATTATACCAAGTAGCAGGAAAGAAAAGACAGAATTTTTAAAAAGTTATATTTATTCGAGTAATAACTACATCTTAATATAATGGATAATAACTATTTCTCGGTATGATAAATATGATTTTAGGGGGATTTTAAGACACCTGGATAATTGTGTCTTATTTATTTTGAAAGCACTATCACATATTATTTGAAGTTTTGTTATATCATCGAGTAGAAAAATATTTTAGCATTTTTTAAAACATCGGTAAAACAATGTTGTGGTTGGGAGAAACCTGCATTTTCTATAAACCCATTTAAAAATTATACTAAAATAAAAGCTTGTTACCGACAACCCTAATGAGAAAACGCACCATCGTGGATATAGCAGCAGAAGGTAGCACGTAAACGTAAATGTGAAATTACAATACATATAGCGACAGTAACTTCAGCAGCTGTTTTCACTGCCACAGCCACAAAAGTGAAAGTCCCCAATAGAGTTGTCGTGTTGTCAAATGGCACTCAAATGTACTTGACTGTTCTTCTTTCGTTCTTAGTACCCTAGTAATGCCGACGGTAAAGCAGAAAACAGTTGAATTTAACCATCGGAAATATATCCATACTATTTATAAGAATGCTATTATTTTAAATTTTAGAGTTAATTCCTATGTTTCGTAGTATCATAACATAAGAGATTAGTATTTCATTATTCTTTACAAAAAAAAAAACTATTAACATCATACAGTCTGTGTCTACAGATAGCTTTATTTCGAAATATTCGAGTATATGCAACCCACAGAGAATATTTGAGTTTAAAATAATGGACCGGTGAGTAGCACATACTCAAAACCTTTTATATAAACAAGTCACACATATAAATTTTATATAAAAATACAGCTTCCTCCTGTACATACCACAACATTGAAATAAAGTTGTTCCCTATATTTACTCAAGAGTAAAATTGAGCAGGATGTATTATAGCTACATTTAGACTAAGTCAACTTAGTTGGAGGACAACACAATCGTTACAATAGGCCTTCGGTTATATAACTATTTTATACAGTTCCTTTAATGATAATATTACATCAGAAGTCAGTCCCTTACCGTCATTTAACTGTTCTTATAATACATAACCCCATACATCAACTAAAATTGCAGTTAAATCTAGCTCTACGTTTTAATCTCAAAGCCTGCAGAGGCGAGCAGGCCTCGCTGGCCAGCTTCGCTCTCCGATACACCTACTGCAAGACAGACTCCCTTCATCAGCGTAAACAACATAAAATACTCGTTATAAAAATACTGTACAATTACAATAATTATTTGAAGGTAATAAACTCCTTACTTGATAAGTCGTAAATGATTAATGCTCTGTTATAACTACGCCTCGAACTTCCATCAATAATACACCATTCACAAATTATATACAATGTCTCTTAGTTTTATACATGTTACATAAACACACATCCAAATTTGTTCCCAAAACTGTAGTCTTTACCTCATTTTATTTTATTTTCTAAATTAAATAATGAGATCGAACATAAACATATGGAATTTTGCAATTGAAAAAGGAACAGGAGTAATATTAGAAATATTATAGTATATTAAAATTTCACTTTTATGAATATAAGCAGTACCTATGTGTTATGTAATGTAAATTTGGACGAAGCCAGGATTTCTGGTAATACTTTTCGTCTATAATTAAATATGATCTTAATATCTTTATTTCTTTCAAGGCACTGAATTTAACAATTGATAACTGTATTTTGTTTATTTAGATCATCTTAGAATCTTACCCTAAAATAATAGCCAATATTAAAATATTTATTTCGCAGTACAAATATTTCGTATGAAAATACACACATGACTCTGCATACATACATCTATACTAAAATATAATATTTCAGTGTAATATACATTAGTTTGTAAATAGATCCCCGAACAGAGTGCTCAGTCGGAAAACGACAATCTATACAAAAATATTTTTGCAAGCTTGCAAAAGATATTTGCTACAGTTACAATATATAAAATACATAATCGCAACAGCGCGATCACATACGCTGGGTTAGGTGGGATCTAATTTTTGGATTTCTGCATGCGCCAATCGTTGAATGTGAGTGGAATGTTCATTGGACAATTATATTGACGACATGACACCACAAGTTTACCGTGCATATCTTCCACATGCATCATTAACTTTACCTATAGATCATGAATATTGCTGTTTTGCCATATTATCAGCTACATATCAATTTAAAAGTCTAAATCGCCTTTTTTTAACAACACACGCGAAAGATTTACGTAGCATATAACATGGCGGGACTCGGTGTACGTGTCACGCACGATGGAGCGAAATTGACCGAATTTATTAAAACAATGTTTGTTTGTGTGTTCAGTCTCACGTGTCAGACTTGCGCCAGCGCCGTGTACATCAGTGTTTCGACAAATTGAGCGGCAAATCTGAAAACATTTATAAAACATTAATTGTACAGACAAATTCTGTTTCTATGTTAATTACTATTATAAATTGCAATGTAAACAAAATTATTTACTAGAAATCTTATTTTTAGATGAATAAAAATATCAATAAATTTTTGCTCACCTGAAGTAGGTTCATCTTTAGGTATGTGGTCGTTGGTAAGCGGCATCGCCAGTGGAGCCCAAGGGCCCGGCGGCACACCGGGTGACATGGGATACTGCATCCAGAGCGGCGGCGGCGGTGTGCGATATAAATGAGGGCCCATGTAAGAATACGGGTACATGTAAGCCATGTCCCGACCCCACTCGTCGCGTGCTGGCGATCCACGGTATTGCGCGCCCACGCTTACACCGCCCCACTGCCGCACGCCGTACGGCGAGGTGGGCGGCGGGTAGGGCGCCCGGTAGCGAGCTAGCTCCAGTGGCGGCGTAGGTGAGTCACGTGCTAGCCCACCCTGGCCTGGTGAGCCCATCAGCGCGGAGTACCGGTAACGGTAATTATCTGGGCTGGGACTCAAATCTGGCGAGTTTACACTCGATGGTGACTCGGTTTTCAAGGACGGTGGATGCGAGTGCGGAGACCGCTTCGCCTCTGGAGACCTCCTTGTTGGGCTGTCGTCTGGCATACTTAAAAGAGAGTGTATACTATAACTGCTAACGTTCTTGGAAACATGACTTGGCGTCTCTTTCCGTGGTGCTGCCGTACCATTATGTGATCGTATCGGCGTCTCAACGACTGGTTTGTGCGTGGTGTGGCTAGGACCAGGTGACGGTGGATATGAAGCTGTACTTAAAGCGGGCACTGTTTTTGCTCGACGTTTCATACTCTGGTCTTCAAGACTTACTCGTTCCAACTCTCGGAGAATGCGTTTTCTCGGAGACACCATCATATGCTCCTGCCTGCAGTTTGCTAATTTAGCATTAACAGGCACAGGTAGAGAAGAAATTCTATCGCGAAGTTTATTTATCGTTTTAGTCAATTCCTTACGTCTTAGCGCAGGTTTCGTCTTTTTATAAACCCTTAACTTACGATACTGATACGGTTTCTTTAGTTTCATGTGATAGTATTTTTCTCGATCGTAATCAGTCCATCGATCGTCATCAGAGTTGGTCTTTACTTTCGGTCCAGTGCCGTCGACAACGTCATCGCTCCGACATGCCCTGTTGTCTGGCGATCCAACGTCGCCATTCTTTTTATCATTAACTCCATTGGTTAATGTTTTCCTGGAATTAGTCCCATTTACGATTCCATCCAGGTGAGTGGTGTCATACGGTCTCCTTCGCTTAAGCCGGCTGGCCACCTCGATAGCGGCGGTATGCAGAGTGCTGGGTCGGCAGTAGTACATGGCTAACTCTTTGGAAATGTTTCTGCGCGGTGCAGTTTGCTTCCAGCAGTGGTCGCGCTGCCACGGCGAAGACTGCACGGAGCTGTTGTCGTCAGAGACAGACAGCGAGGCGGAGGGCGGGTGCGCAGCTGCGGGTGGCGTGGGCGGCGCGGCGGCCGGCGGCCAGAACGTCTTACGTGGCACCGACACCCAGCCAGCACGTTCGCCTTCTCGTGCGCACCCGCGCACCAACTCCAGAATAAACTTTCCATCTGTAAAACCAATACATACTTTGACATAACCTGTTATTCCTTTACAGTAAAGGGCTAACCAAGACTACGTGATTTTTAACACAATTATAAATAAATGTCATTGAATGAGTGATGAAATATTTAATCAAGTATTTAGTATAATAATTTAATTGACTCGCATAATGACCAAGCATTTTTAGTAAATCCTCAATGTGTGATAAGATCAAATAATCAACAGGTAGAATATATTTCAGAGGCACAAGTACTCACAACATCAGCCACTTGTAGTTATGCCTTATGATAATTATACTAATCCCTATTTCACATTGTTTATTGATAAAATTTACATCTACTTCAGTACAAACTATTAAGACATACACACTGATAATTAACTCAGTAAATGTAGTGATTACAAGAAGCCATTGTTGACCTATATTTCGTTAACTATTTAAAAGTCATTAGATGTACTGCATTTGGTAAACACAAGGAACCAGGCATGAGACAACGGTCAAGCAACAAATGTATAGATTATTGACACTTGTTAATGGTTTGTGTAATGTATTTATATTGGACTATTTGTCAAGTGATAGAGAGATATATTTCACTTGTTCGCTCCACCTGACTAACAGAATCAAGTGTAATTCACATTAGAGTGTAAATTAAGTCCATATAGGTAGGTACGAAACATTTAAGAAAAAAACATGAGGTATGGTATATTGGAATATTCAGATTTTACCAGTTTTTTAAATAGGAAAATATACAAAGTTATATCTACATAAAATACAAATGTTATGTAAATATCATCATTTGCACACATCACATCCTACACAGATTCCTGTGAAACAACAATTTCTAAGGAACTTAAACAAGTGTCATGCAGGTGTTTATGGAGTGTAGATGACATTCTGACCTTATAATTCACACTTAGTTTACAATCATGTTAATAACATTCCAACAAATGCTATGTTTTCACAAATACAAACTACTAAATGCTCCTAATAATAGTCATGTTCTTCAAAACATTATAAAATTGTTGTTTGTTTCCGCTACGGTAGCCACAGAACCTTACGAAACTCACAACAATAGCACAGAGGCTGTGCTTAAGACAATTGGTAACGACTCAGCCAAATGTGCTCATGTAGGCTTATCAGAGCATGAATGACTTTCTAGTTTTTCTCAACACACTGTCTGGCCCAGCGGGTGTAAAATGTATTTCTAGATAACTAAATTGGTGCCTTCCAATATGTTTAGCTGTCATCTGTAACAAAACACTCACCTTTGAAAAACTTAAGCCTCCCACCAGTAGCAGTGAGAGCAGAACTGTTCACAGGAGCATCCTCATTCGCACCCTTACTGCTGCTGTTACCATTCACGCCATGTCTTCTGTCTACTTCCTCTGTCATTTTGGTACATGTTGTCAGAGTTGTGTTTGTTCCTTCCTGTATATGCATTTCATGTCTGACCGCTCATACATCACGCGAGCGACACTTTAGTCCGAGCCGTCTCGCCATGTCGCACCGAGACTGGGGAACACCGACGCATTAAACACTCGCGAATTCAGATCGACATACAATATATCCGTCAAAGTCCTCATCCTAGTGCCACCTGCGGATTGTGGGCTCCACCGAATCTTTCGTATAAACACATTACCGACACGGTGACTTCTGTATTGAACGTTATTATGGTTGATCCTTTTTCCTTTAACACTACGTTTCTCACTATTTCAATATTGGCTAAACAAAATCGCGACGCCGGATTCCCAATTAAAATCGGGCCCACGACACAACTCGATAAAAAGCTGTTCGTTTTTCAGTACATAGTTCATTCACACCCAGCATCCATTTTGATTCGTTCAAAATCAAATATGATCGGTCTTTTGACCACAAATAAACTTGAAATCTGAATGGTCCGAAACTTCGAATGCGTTCTTATATTGCGTCTTGTTATCGCTACACTTGAACTTAATACTTTTTTTTCTTTATTTAGATTTTACGATTCATACGGCTAAATTTCGGTATCAATTTGTTATTTCATTTTAATTATATACATACACATACATACATACACATACACAACAAAATATATTTTGTGTATATAATTTTTGTAAAAAACATGTATTTATTGAACAAAGCAAATAAAACAGATGAATCGAGATTATTAGTGGTAAGTATTATTTCTAAGTTAGAATTTTTGAACTTAATGTTAACTTATTATAATCTAAATAATAATAGCTTATTTTAATTCATCATTCAAAAACAAAACTGTTTGCCTATAATCTGTGGTCTACGCCTCAGCGGCCATGTTGGTGTTCGATGTTTTGTTTTAATTTCACATCTTTTCTCTCTTTCGTTTATAGTGTTTTAAAAAGAGACAGCGATAAAAAATGCCGCGCACCTGAACTCCCATTGGACGGCTGCCGGGGTGCGGGAGCAGGGAACATTCGATTGTCGATGGCGTATCGGACTGCATTCGTTTCGTTTCTTGTTTTCTTGAGGCAATGAATATGGTCTGATTTCTAACCTCATTGAAATCCATAATATTTTGGTGTTTAAAAAATACGTGTTATAAAAGTATCATCGTTTGTGACCTGTAAAAGTAAATAAAGCAAGATGACTTCATCGGAGGTTTCTTACAATCGCAAAATAATAACGGAAGATTTGTCGAATGTCGAGTTTGATACCAGTGAAGATGTGGAAGTTATACCAACTTTCGATTCAATGGGCTTACGAGATGAGTTGCTACGAGGAATCTACACCTATGGTACGTATAAATGAATTTACTGTTGTAAAATTAAAACTTGATTGTCAATTTGTTTGTACGCGGCAATGCATCACCTACTTTCACATTTTTAGGTTTCGAGAAGCCGTCTGCAATTCAGCAAAGAAGTATATTGCCAATCGTTAAAGGAAGAGATGTGATAGCTCAGGCGCAGTCTGGTACAGGCAAAACAGCCACATTCTCAATTTCCATTCTGCAATCCCTGGACACAACTTTACGTGAAACCCAAGTCCTGGTGTTGTCGCCAACTCGGGAGTTGGCTACTCAGATCCAAAAAGTGATACTTGCTTTGGGTGACTTCATGAATGTTCAGTGTCACGCTTGTATCGGAGGCACGAATCTTGGAGAAGATATCAGGAAGCTGGACTATGGACAGCATGTTGTCTCAGGAACACCAGGACGAGTTTTTGGTAAGTTCGATAAAATTATTCTATTTACTTCATCTTATTATTTCACATGTGGTATTTATACCCAATCTAGATTTGCCCACAATTCCCATATATCTATTATGCCATTTGATTTTCTGACAGTTTGTGACAAAACTTTCATAATATTATGAAAATACAAGGATTTTACAATTTAATGAATCATTAACTTAACCCGTTGAAAATAATCCCCTAAATTTGATCATACAAAAGTAGTCTTTAAACATTGGAAATAAGGTCTATAATGTAGTTAGTGGAGAGCGGTCACCGGTGACGGCTTGGGGAGACATGGGTTAAATTTCTAGTTTATTCTACTTAATAATTTTACATGTAATATGTATTCCTAAGTTAGCTATGGTCGGAACTTCTATTTATTCATTTCATTTTGGTAGTAATCTCATTTTGGGGCCAACATCCCACTCACTCCTATAGTAGTAATTAGTGGTATTATTAATAGCAATAATATTATTTCTGAACTTAATGTTCTCAAAATTTTGTGGACTTAATAAATGGCATTTTGTGAAGTGCAATTAGAATACTATACATACTAAACTACTACAATTAAGTATGAATTTGCTTTTTCTGTACAATTAGATCAAAAATGATCCAAAAGTATCATAACCTTCAATGCAAACAAATACTTAATGGATTCTAAAGCACTGTTTAGGACATACCAATAGGATAGGACCCACCAATTAAAAATATATGTGTTTAATTTGTAGATATGATTCGCCGACGCGTACTAAGAACCCGTTCGATCAAGATGCTGGTCCTTGATGAAGCTGACGAGATGTTGAACAAGGGGTTCAAAGAGCAGATCTATGATGTATACCGCTATTTGCCACCTGCAACTCAAGTAGTTCTTATTTCTGCCACATTACCCCATGAAATTTTAGAAATGACCTCGAAGTTCATGACAGATCCTATCAGAATCCTGGTCAAACGGTATGTATTGAGACATGGTATTTTCATCATTATAAAATGTTTTAACAATTGAGTACCATATACTAAATTAAAAAATTTTGTTTACAGTGATGAGTTGACACTAGAAGGAATCAAGCAGTTCTTTGTAGCAGTAGAACGTGAGGAATGGAAGTTTGATACCCTCTGCGATCTTTATGATACCTTAACCATCACTCAGGCAGTGATCTTCTGCAACACAAAGAGAAAGGTAGACTGGCTCACACAAAAGATGCAGGAAGCTAACTTCACAGTCAGCTCAATGCACGGAGACATGCCTCAAAAAGAAAGAGATAACATTATGAAGGAGTTCCGTTCTGGTCAAAGGTTTGTATTTGTATATTTTTAGATAGCATTTATTTAGTTTGGACTTAGATGTACTATTCAGTCGAATTTAATATCTTATTTGTGTATTTGGGCTAAACGTTTTTTATGGGGTTTAAGAGTTCCAAACAAATCTGTTCCTCTTGTTATAAAATATGTTCTAATTTGTATATTATAATTATTAATATCTACTACAGAGAATACACACACAGTTTTAGCTATTTTAGTCAACAGAACATTATAATATAATATGATTTGAATAGTCTTCTTTTTACAGATTTTATTAGTTTGAATTTGATGTTATTAGTTAGCCAGTATCAAAATAGTTATAAACAGATATTTATTTAGTAGTAGAGATCTTAGAGCTTCTAGGGAATTGATTTTAGATTCTTGTCTAAGAGAGGCAGAGGTGCACGTTATGCCACTGTTACATTGTACAGTTTTACTCCCACTCTTTACTATTTATGTTACGAGTCCCATGTAATAGGGGGTAAGCCTATTGCCATATACCGGGCACAATTCCATCCGGGAATCGAACCCGAGACCCCTTGCCCGGCAGTCGCACTTGCGACCACTCGGCCAACGAGGCAGTCCAGTTCCAACTACTTCTAACACATTGTATTACGGGACTAACTTACACTATTTTCATGTTTCAGCCGTGTACTCATCACAACTGATGTTTGGGCGCGAGGTATCGATGTGCAACAAGTGTCCCTAGTCATCAACTACGATTTGCCAAACAACCGTGAGCTGTACATCCACAGGATCGGCAGATCAGGACGATTTGGACGCAAAGGTGTGGCCATCAACTTTGTCAAATCTGATGATATCAGGATTCTTAGAGATATTGAACAGTACTACTCCACTCAAATTGATGAGATGCCAATGAATGTGGCTGATTTAATATAAATGTATAAACATTATTCTATTGCCTACCATCTTTTGTAACCCAGTCTTCTGGTTGGACGCACCGTGGTGAAGGATTTAACAGCACCCAACTCACCTTTGTAAGCTATTTAGATGTATTTCGATATAATGTCTTAATAAAAATTTAAAGTAACATTAACATTTCTTTTTGATTTATAAGAAGTATTCTTAAAAGAACCTTAAATCCCCTCCTCTCATCCTTGTGTAATTACAGTAATTAGGTTTTTCAAATATTGGGAGTTATTTCTGAAACCCGTTGAAATTCATCCCCTAAATTTGTTCATAAAAAAGTAGTCTCTAAGCATTGGAAATAAGGTCTATAATGTAGGTAGTGGAGAGCGGTTGCCGGTGACCGCTTGGTGATCTATGGGTAACTCATAATGGTATGGATGAGTAAATAATAAATACTACATACGTAATAATCATCACGCCTGTCATCTGTCATCACATAAGGGTATGCAGAGACAACAAAACGTCAAATGACACAGTTCTGGCATCTCTTGCTTTAGCTGAAGTTGAAAAACATTCATCATCAATCTCTTCATATATGGTTGTTGACAGGCCACTTATTAAAACTAAATAAGCTAATTACCTATTACAGAACGCTTAATAAAAATAAATTAATGTACTTAGGTACTTGGTTAATACTTGTGAAACTTTAGGAAATATTGATATGCAAAATTATATAAAGAATTAGCCAAACGGCTACGAAAATGTTTATATTATCATATCATTTTATACTATAACAAAAATAACCTTCATTACTTCCTATAGTATGGAATTTTTGAATCTATTATTTTGGGGAATAAGGTAAAGAAATGATTACACAAATTGTGTAGTGAATTTACAAAGTTTATGTTAGTCAAACAATGCAACACAGTGTTCTGAAAGCTAAGTTACAACTAATTTACACACATTAATTAAAATAATATACATTTACATACATATAATCTTATCACTACAATAATTTCACTTAATGAAAACTTATTAATAAAATGTTGATTCCAAAACGATTATTGTAATAAGACATCTAAGCTCTCGGAATGTTAACAGTACCGGCCAAAGCCTGCACCCAATACTAATGTCCAATCAACTATTTACTAGATGGTGCAATAATATAATTTACAAAACAATAATTTAGTGGTAATTTCCAACAAGGAATCTTATGTATATTAAAAGATCATCATTATAAATATTTCTAATTTACAAATAACAGGATTTTAGTGTCACATTTAATATTTATATCAAACAAATTATTTTATAAATACAATCTCCTGGTGTTGTTTTCAAACAATGTTTAAAATACATGACCAGAAAAAAAATGCAGTTATACAAATAAAAATAAATTTTAACAATAGTCCTTGCATTTTTTCCAGTGTAGGAACAAGAATTTCATCCGTTACATTTGGCATTTACACAATCAACAAGTTTTATCACATGACTATATTGTAAAAATTTGGGCTTCTGCTACTGAGTCTTGAAGCATTCACTTAGTACACAATAGTACCACAACCTCGGCAAGAAATAATGAAGCTGATATTCATCATTAATGAATATTCAGTTTTATTTAATGCACAATAAATAAACAATCAATGTTACTATGTAACTTGACATATCTTCCATTTTGTAATAACATGCTTCTTGAGTTTCAATACATTCATTATGAAAAAAGATAAATAACAAATGACAAATCATGAAAGTATAAGGTGATGCAATTTGATTTCCTCTCAGAGGTAACAGGACGCCTTATAAGTATTATATCCTTATTCTTAAGGCACAATTGACAAATCATAAGAAAAGAAAAGTAATGTTTACTATAACCAGTTGTTATAGAATATGTGAACACCATAATTTGAAATATGATCTCTTACTTTATACAAATAAATAATAAAAGAAGAGGATGCACTGCATCAATTATTTGTTGTCACTTGCAAATACTTCAAAATTATTCTTAGGCCCTAATATCAAAAATGTGTCAAAAGTTACAGCTCTGTCTCGGAAGCAGGGTAGTGTGCATTCCAGCGTCTGTAAATGAAAATACCAATGGCTCCCACCAACAGAGCAACCAGTATTTCAGTGAGCTGATCCAAAAAGCTATTAGTAGGTTCAGATGACTCCAACACTTGAGGTTCTGGCTCAATAACAGGTTCTTCTGGGGGCTTAGCAGTCTGTTCCTCTTCTGCTTTGAAAGCAATTTGATTTAACACTGACTTTTCTTCCTCAGTAATTGGCTTTGCTGCTGTTGATGACAATAGAGCAGATATTTCACCACATTGTGGACATACCCAAGTTACAGACTTCTTCGCAAGTATTTTACGCTCTGCAGGCGAATAGTCGAGCGAGCCAATAGTACCCTCAGCTGGAGTTGGCATAAAAGCAATCAAAGCCAATAAAGCAGTTCTTATTGACCAGGATGGTTGCCAAGTCTCGGGGTGATGACCAGAAATCGATAAACAAATCTTTTTGTTGACTTCGAATCTTCCGTTTGGCGTTAAAAGTATTATATGAGGCGGGTGCATAGGATATTCTTTAGGCAATAATATTCTACCATGGTAGATACCACCTTCGAAATCTGTACCTTTAGGACCTTGTACGGTGAAATGCCATTCAAACAAGTTATCTTCTAAAGGACGAGCACAATATTCCTCTGTAGCCTCCGCTAGCTCCATGGCCTCTCTCATAAGACGTTTCACACCAGGACATTTTGTATTGTATTTTTCACTTATTTCTGCCATTTTCTACAAAATATACAACAGGTAGGAACAACTGACAGATGATAATTGTAATGACGCAACTGAAAGGCAGAGGTACACGTATGTTATTGATGTAATCACAGGAAAATTTGATAACAAAATCCTTTTGTGTATGGCCACAGAAATTGTCAAAAACGTCAGATGATTGTCAGTTTCAACGCAAAACTACCACCAACAGCAGCTGACCAAATATTGCCCTGTTACACGTAACACTAAATCCGTTTATGTAAATAGTAATTTGTATTTTATATCGATAATTATAACTTAACATAATACTATAAATTGATAATACCAAATATTCTCTTGGTCTGATATGGACCTAAGCATTAGCCGTGCAGTTTTTATTCAAATATCAGACTCAACGACAACTACATTCGATCTTGGTATCATTTATAAATGGCAATATTTTTAAACCCTCGAAAATAAAAAAGTTGAACTGTCAAATAGAAAAATCACAGAGTATTTTCGGGCAGCAGAAATTTGTTGATTGTGAGAGTTGTGGGTTTTTGTTCGTACTATTGTTACGTTTTATAAGGAAATAATAATGTGGAAAAGATGTTATAAATTGTTTCTAACTACATTTCTATTAGTGTAATGTTAAAAACATAATCCTTCGTATTGTGTATAAAGGTTGCGTTAATTAAAAACAACACATAATGGGCAACATAAAAGAGCATCAGCTATACATGGCGAGGAATTCTGCATTTAATCCCTATCGTCTAAGGGACCGTGAGATGGGTTATCAAACTACTGTCGGATCAGGTGATGCGATTGCCAAGAGCCTGTACTGCGGCATTAAACCTGTGGCATCATGGGAAGCTGATAGAACGAAGACTCCTCCGACTGGGGGTATTTTCAACCTTGAATTTTCCCCGGATGGGTAAGTACTAACATTGTTTTAACGACGTAATAGAGCCTTGACTTTGGCTTCACTTCAATACCATTCTAAAATCACATCCAGTTTGGTTACTTGAATAATTTACTTCAGACCATTCTTACTTCCTGGATCCAATCAAGGAAATATTTTTTTTGTTTTAGAATACTTGTTTGAGTGTGCTAATAACCTCAAGTTTGGTACATTTTTTATACATGTATTAAGTAATAAGTTCACCTTTAGAAACCAGTCTCAAAAATTCTAAAACTGCATTAAATTTTTAATGATTAATGAAAAACATATTAGTGATGAGATAAGACATTAGATAATATAAATAAATAATGTCAATCAATAATATATCTTTATTTTGTAAAATAATTGCTATGCATTTTGATTATTTTATTTGTCTATAATCTTTTGAGAAGAAAATAATAAGAGACAGAGAGAGAGAGAGAGATAGAGAGAGAGAGAGAGAGAGAGAGCTTCCCAAAATATTTTTGCCATCTGTGCAGACTCATAAGAGACCTACTGTTTTTCTCTCTTAGACAGTGTTATAGGTATTACCTCATATAATTGAACTTACAACTTAGTCTTAAAAGTATTTTACAACAACTGGTGAACCGCCCCGGCTTCGCACGGGTGCAATATGCATGTATTATGCAATATGCACATTAACCTTCCTTAAGTATCACTCTTTTTATAAAAAAAAACGCATCAAAATCCGTTGCATAGTTTTAAAGATCTAAGCATACACAGGGACAGACGGCGGATAGCGACTTTGTTTTGTACTGTGTAGTGATAGTGATGAATGTTGTCTGGAAGAAATTGCCACATGAGATAAGACCGCCCATTGTACTCGAATTACTGTTACATTGTATACAATTTTTTCTGTATGTGTGCAATAAAGTATAAAATAAATCAATATCAAAACAAAAAATATCACCGCAATAGGTGTTATTGGCCACATTTTCAAGTGTGGCCATTAACCATTACAGTTCAGAGGTCACAGAGAAAAAAGGTTTTATTCAAACAGTCTATATAGTCAAATCTATGGATGCAAGTTTTTTTTTAAGTCTGTAAAAGTAAATTGAACTTACTTGTGGTATGTTGAGCTATGTTGGTGCTTACCATCATACAGGCGAAAAACTTCGTTACAAATAAAAAAACTACTGACATTCAAAGAAGGTAACATATAAAAGTTAACAATGAATGACTTTCAGATCATTGTTAGTGGCAGCTTGTGAAAAGAAATCAATACAAATATTTGACCCGCTCAACCGTGAGAAGATACATACAGTAGTTGGATCTCATGCCGATTGCGTCAACTGTGTTAAGTAAGTAATTATTGCAACAATTCAAGTGTATATAGTGCTTGAGCATGATTGGGTTGGCTTGACCAGAGTGATACCACAGCCTCACAGAAAACCGACGTGAAAAAACAATTGCGTTGTGTTTCTTCGTGTGAGTGAGGTTACTGGAGGCCCAATTATACCCCCTCTACCCCGATACCTGAATCTCCAACGATCCTTAAATGTCTAATCTCCAAAAGGCTTGTAACGCACTTGTAACGCCTTAGGTGTTTTGGGTGTGACGCCGACTGGTTATCTCCCCCATAAGTAACTATTTAACATCAGTTAATTTTTGCAGAACCTTTCCTTTGACTGCCTCGTTGGCCAAGTGGTCGCAAGTGCGATTGCCGGGCAAGGGATCTCGGGTTCGATTCCCGGGTCGGGCAAAATGTTACTGTTTTTGGGTTTTTAAAAAACATTTTAGTACTTAGTAGCACAGAGTCTGGAATTGTGCCCGGTATATGGCAATAGGCTCACCCTCTATTACATGGGACTCAAAACAGTGAAAAGTGGGGGTTACATTGTACACTGGCATAATGTGCACCTCTACCTGCTCCTTCGGGGATAAACGGCGTGATGTTATATTATGTTATGTCTTTCCTTGGATTTTCTTCTATGTTAACTTTTTTTTCTAGATTCCTCGATGGCCGCATGTTTGCAACATGTTCAGACGATACTACAATAGCATTATGGGACGTTCGAAATCTCAAAAAGAAAATACGAACACTACTAGGTCATTCAAAATGGGTTAAAAATATAGAATTCTCAGTTAAAGACAAATTGCTAGTCACATCGGGGCTAGATGGTAGTATATACACATGGGACATAAATTCCTACACAGAGTATAACCTTATATACCAAAGAGTATTTCATACATCTAGTTTGATGAGATGTCGGCTGTCTCCGGACTCGAAGCAAATGATAATGTGCACGACTGGAGGACTTATTATAATAATACACGACCTGAATCTAAATACGCTGTCACAAGATTTACATGGATTTAAGGTAAGCTTTGTAATTTAGAACCTTGACAATTTCGTAACATAATTTCTTACCTATTTCCTTAAGCTGGCAGTGAGATTTATCCTTATAGAATGTTCTTTTCGCTAATCACTTACCGTTGACCTACTTACTTTCAATGACAAACTCCAAGGACTATTGCAAAGTGTGTGTTAAAGAATATGTAAATTAATTACCTTTTTTTATTGCAAGAGATCCGCGGGACTCACGTGGTTTAGCTTCTAACAATATAAACACTGATTTAATAAAAAAAATATAAACTCAAACTCAAAAGCATTTATTTCAATTAAACCATAATTTGGTACTTTTGAAACGTCAACAAATATGAAATAAATAATAGTCTGTCCATCAGTGAAGCAAGGCGCTCGTTCTAAAATGTCGATTCGAGTGGAGAAGAACGAGCAAGAAACTCTATTCGTGACTCTTTTAAAAAAAATCTGTTTTAAAAGAGTAACGAATAATTAAAAATTTTATGTTCCAGCCAAATCTATATAGGTTGATGCAAATGAGCAGGCAGCCTATACCTATAGCCACGATGTACGATCACCTCTTTGATAGCAGTCGCAAGGAAAACCGCGTTGAATTTGTATCGGACTTCCCAGATGGAAATGATGCTGAGGTGGTCAGCTCTCTACAGGTAAAAGGTCTTTTTTTATGGAATAGGAGGCAAACGAGCAGACGGATCACCTGATGGTAAGCGATCAGCGCCGCCCATAGACAACCGCAACACCAGAGGAGTCACAGGTGCGTTGCTGGCCTTATAAAAGGAATACGCTCTTTTATTGAAGGTTTGAAGGTCGTATCGGTTCGGAAATACTGCCGATGACCGATCATTCTACATTCATTTTGCTGTGTGAGGCAGAAAGCAACGTGTGAAAGCGCACAGTGAATTTCAGTGATTTGAAATATTATTTTTCAGTGAAATTGTCCATTCTAAAACAATTTGATATAGATAGGAATAGGACTGTACAACGTTCTTACCAGTTTCTTGATATGCTCTTTTCAGATACAGATAGTCTACAAATAGACCAACAGCTATCTGGCCGGTTTTTTACCTATGTGTTCAATATAAAAAAAAAAATAGCCTATCACTAAGTCATTTAAAGTAAAAGAAGAAGATTTTCAATTATTCTGTTTATACAAAATTTACTAAATATTTATAGCACTATTGGAAGCGAACACGCTTACGACTCAATTGATAAAGTTACCATATTAACTAAAATCGCGGTTTACTCACGTGAATATACTGAGAAAAGCTCTACTAGTTTCGAACCACAGAGGGGTTCGAACATGAACGCGACGTGGCCGCGACCGCGCACGCTGCTCATGAGGTTCGTATATTCCCGGCATTCAGGCACAGTATATTCACATGAGTAACCCGCGATTTTAGTTAATTTAGTTTAGCAATCTTGTAAAATGTGAAAGTAAAGTATAATTTCTTTTTATCATCATTTCAGGTTCATCCCCAAGGTTGGAGCGCGTTGAGTAGAAATATCAGTCATGATGACAAATCAGAGGTAAGATTTTATTTATATATTACTTTTCCTTTATTGAGTAATTCTCAGTAATTGTTCCTTATGATTCATTTATGTAATAGATTGGGAAACACATACTACTGTTATGTCTTGTCTTACTTATCCTCCTTTCTTGATTTATTTCACCACAATAAGAAAGAATGAGTAATATATCTATGTACAGTCAAAGGTCAAAAGTCCACTGCCACCGTAAGACTACTATCGGTTGCGCTGCAGCGTTTATACACACATGCACACGCATATTTTTATCCGTTTATGTGATGTTCACTCGGCAATGCGTACGCCGCGTTTTTATGCATATGAAATTACTAACGCATTAACGTGTGAACATCACTCACGGTGGCAGTGGACTTTTGACCTTTGACTGTACATAATTATTATTGATATTACTGTAAAAACCCCATAATTGTACATTTCAAGGGTTTCTGGTAAAACCTAGTGGTCCAACTTTCACCACTTTACTTGAGAAATTTTTGGATTTAACAACCCGTGCCTAAGTTGAAAGAACTAAGTTAATTTATTTAAATTGACAAATATAAACACTAAAATTGATATTAACGAAATTAAATTCATAAACAACTGATTATCTCGACTTGAATAAGGAACATAAATATAATTAATTAAGTTATGACATAACATCACGGCTTTTATCCCCGAACGGGTAGGAAGATGTGCACATTACGACACTTAAGGCCACTGTACAATGTAACACCCACTTATCAGTATTACTTTAATTAAATTATGTATTATAAAATATTCTATCTCCTAATTTATACTTACATTTGCAGTGGACATGTATTCACGACATTCAGTCTATTCCTGACGCGAGTGATAAGAGTACGCGAGACACCTCGCCATCAGGCGGCGGCACCACGCACCCAGGGACACGACCTGTGAGGCGGCGTCCGAGGTACTACAGAACAAACCGAATGCATCACATCAATCCTATGTGAGTTATATTTTACTCACAATATTTACTATTTTTTAATTATCAAATTATTATGTGTTTAGTCAGACACATTTCATTTTCCATCTGCATGGCAGGCTTTTTTCATCTGTTAGGTAGATGTTGTAAACAATGTTTAATATATTAAACATTCTGTAGATCTTTCTTGGTGACTGGTCAGCAAAAAGGTTCCCTCTGTCGCCTAACAGTGACGTCATTCTATAGTACATTAGTTTGGGTGAACATTTTTGCGCTTGCTAGATGGCAGTAGTGTCGATTATAGTCTTGTACGTCCAATTATTATTGTTGTTTTTGAATATATGCTTACTATAACTGACACTGTGACATATAGTCTTAATACTAGTTGATTATTTGTTTTGAATAGGGAGCAACTGGACCTTTTGCAGTATTAACGTCATCTAGTAAGAGCAAAAATGAAAATCCTCATTGAATATTAAGCGTGTTAAGCCTTCATTGCTTCCTTATACGTATTATAATTTGTCCCCTGGATGAACTTTATAGTTGTGTTGTGATATTATACAGACACCAGCACATCAAACCATCTCGAAATCATACAATAGATTTTCGACTTTATTGCAAAGAAAAATGGTTTGAAATCTATAAAACGTGTGAGACATGTACTGGCATCTGTATTCAAAATATAAATGTTTTAGAAATTATTTAAATTGATGTTCATGACGTCATACGCGCTTTTGCTATTTGTATTCAGAATACTCTTAATGTTAAGTTTATTTTTATTTTCCAATAATGGTTTTTAATCTTTAACCAGCCAGTATTCTTTAGGATCTAGTGCTTTCAAGGTTCTTTATCTCCACTTTATCAAATAATACTTTACATATAACAATTAAGGCTTGAAGTTTAAAACATTTTTGGTGTCTCAGAACATACTTATATTGGAGATTCCTTGTGTAATAAAATTATAAAAACATCTGTTATTTAAAGATAATCTTATTTAAACACATTTTTATTTTATAAGGTACTCGCCCAATGAATCTGTTGTAATTTGATTTATTACATATTCTGGGACTTATAAAGGATACTATTTAAAGTAGCTTTAATTATAAATTAGGATAGTATATTTATAGTCTGTGATTGTTTTTCTTTTTTTTATGGTTTTTATCCCCTATGTTTGTGTTATTGCTAGTGCTTGAGTAGAATCTCCTTATCAAATTCTAAAATCAATAAAAATATATTTTATTGAAACATGGCCGGTCGTAAACCACAAAAGATTTTAAACAGTAATTTATAAACGTTGTTCGAGGAAAATGTTTGCCGTCATAGAGAAAATATACGAACAACTTTTCAACGCGTTGTGTTTTCAAATTAATTATATTATGGAACCGTTCGTCACTAAATTTAAATAAAAGATCGCACGTTTGTCGGCAGGACTATGACTCATGTTAACTTAACTATGGACGGTGATGTCGTGGGCCCGGGGCCCAGCTCGTCGCGGAACGCGCCTGCGAACGCCAGCTCAGTGCCGCCCTCGCGTCTTTCCGGGGTAAGCACCCCCCCAAGACTACCTTTACTATTTGCAAAAGACTATTTAACAAACACCAATGTAGGTATATTATTTGCGCTGTGACGTGACATAAAGATATAGAACGGGCGTGGTAGTGCCCCGGCTAAGTCAAACATGAAAGTGGCATGGTCGTAAGGCCGTTTCTCGAAGCGATCTCAGTATTGTAGATAATTTATCACAACCAGTATATCATTTAAAACAGTTCTAGTCACGTTTGCCACACAGAAGTCTGGCTTTCAAGTTCCAATATCCCCACAACGGAATAGTTAGAGTTGCGACTGTCGATCTTATACTCTTCGTATTTTAGATACAAAGTCGAATGATTTATTTCAATAAAACCTCTATACAGACACTTTTAAGACATCAAAATAGAATTAACGGTCTGTCAGTCTGACCGTCACTCAGTGTACCAACTGTGTACCAAACCCCAATATGTTTTACAATTACTTCAATCGTCTACTTAGTCAGGTTAAGCCAACACACAATAGAATTATCCTGAAGTATGTAGAGACAAAAGTATGAATACAAACAAATTTCTCAGGGTGTGTCTGGTACACAGAATGACCTGTGGGAGGCGGCCATCACGGTCAAACAGCAGAGAATACTGCAGGAAATGTACCACAGGTGAGGGTAGAGATATAACACAGTATATATATACACACTGCATGAACTGTAACAAGCGTCTTATGACCGTTTTAACCAACCGCTTTTAAAACATCTCTCAACTAAGAGTTGCTTATCGTGAGCACCTAAACTAACCCTTATTTGCACTTTTATGTGTCACCTATATGTTGGGGACAACCAAAATGTCATTAAGTACCACACTTAGCTTAGGGGTTTCTTAAAATTTAGGAGAGGTTGGTGAAAACGGGCTTTAGTTTACTGCCAATTTACTTAAACATTTTAAGTGCTACGGTCAGCTACAGATGACAAAGAAAAGTTGGGCTATTCCGCCATTAAAGATCGACAAGAAAACGTCATTTTTAAAGTACATTTTGTTGGTCGTCTATAGCAGACAGTGGCGTTTAAAAAGTTCATTAGTGACGTAAATACCATCTTGATTGGCAATGAGCGGTACCATTTGTCTACTCATTAGTGGCGCTAATGTAGTGTGGGATCTGTTTCTGTATTACTGTAGCTATCAATAATAACAGAATTGTGATGATGACAGGGTATTAAAAATTAAAAATATAATTAGTCCGTAAGTTAGATAATGAAAAAATATTAGACACGTATTTTTTTATTATGTCGTATAAACAATACTTAGATAAAAAGAATCAAAGTTTAGGAGTGGGGGCTAAAACGTCATTTCTACGTATAAAATGTACATAGAAGTGATGTCACGCGACATTTCAAATCAATATATCGTCGAAAGTATGTATTCGTTTCTGTCAGAAAATAAAAAATACGTGGCTAATAATTTAAAATAATCTACCAGACGGACATTAAAATAAAAATTAGGCATCTACCCTATTGTTTAACACTGGCTATAGTTCTCTATTAGACAAGCAGATCAAACGCTATAATAGCGCCATCTATCGAGCGAAATTCGGTAGCCTTTATTGCTTCGGGATTTGAATTAAGTGAATACCTCCCTACTCAAGGGAACCCGGACTACTGTTAACTCAAAACGAATGATTACGAAGAAACATTAGGTTCTAGTCCGGTTTCCAAAATTGCATTTGCCTTCTATAGATTGTAGTGACGTCACTATTAATTGGATTTCAATACACTTTATTAGTTCACCTTACTGTGAGATGGCACAATTATTATTATTAACTAACTAATACACTGAACTAATACACCGTGAAATCTATATCGTTTTCGTTTGAAGTAAAATGGTTCTGTCTTGGTAATACAATAGTTTTACAAAGAAATAAAATTAAAAAAGAACCGGTGAACCATTGCATAAGGAGACTTTGAAAGCGTAGCCCTATACGAACTCATAGTACATATAACATAACATCACGCCTTTTTATCCCCGAAGGTGTACGCAGAGGTGCACATTACGGCACTTAATGCCACTGTACAATGTAACGCCCACTTTTCACAATTTATGTTATGAGTCCCATGTAATAGCGGATGAGCTATTTGCCATATACCGGGCATATTTCCAGACTCCGTGCTACTACTGACATTTTTAAAAACCCAGTAATACTTTGCCCGACCCGGGAATCGAATCCGGGACGCCTTGCCTGGCAGTCGCACTTGCGACCACTCGGCCAACGAGGCAGTGTTTCATGCGGGTATTCCCGTGAAATATATTTTTAATCTTAAAAAATACGACTTCAATTTTATTTATTTTTACTTTATACATCGGAAGTACTCTTTATGACAAGTTGTTTTGCCGCGGGACGGAAACGAAATAATTTACACGGTGTAGTATTATTTGCTTGTACTGCATGTCTAAATATAGAAGAAGGAGGTAATTGGCTAACTTTGTAGAGAACTAGAGAACCTATATTGCACAGATAACTGTCCAGTGGTACATAATACTATTTAAGACACCGGCACTTTAACCTACTTTAACTTGTAATCCTTTTACACTTTCAATTTCATTTGTTTGATGTAGGTTCTTATTATGATATTGTCACAAAACAAATGCAGGGTGTAAACGGAACGTGTAGGCCATGGGCCATTAATATTATGTTAAGTGGAAGAGCCATGCTTCGGCACGAATGGGCCGGCTCGACCGGAGTGATCGACGGCCTCATAGAAAACCGACGTGAAGCAACGCTTGCGCTGTGTTTCGTCGTGTGAGTGAGGTTACCGGAAGCGGTTACCCTCCCCTTCCCCAATCTCCCCAATTCCTGAATCCCCAACGATCCTCAAAGTCCTAATCCCCAAAAGGCCGGTAACGCACTTGTAACGCCTCTGGTGTTCCAGGTTTCCATGGGCGACGCCGATTGCTTACCATCAGGTGATCCGTCAGCTCATTTACCGACTTATGCCATAAAAAATATATTAGACATAAATACAAAACAAATTGCCTTTCGACTTGCCTTTTAATGAGACAATTTCATAGAAGTAAAAACAAAATATATAAGTGACATACGTTTAAAGAAAATTCAAACCAAAAATAAAACTTCCTTAACAGCCAGTGCTCACATTACTACCAAATAGGTATATTATTAAGTGCTACAAAATGTAGCACATAGTGACGTCATTTCAGATTAATATATCGTCGAAAGTATTTAATTTTATGAGAAAAGAAAAAATACGTGTCTAATGTTTTAAATTAACTCGTCGAGTACCGTATTTATAGACACAATTAAAGAACAATAGGTTGCGGTCACCGGTGACCGCTTGGTGTTTGACAGTTTAATCTACCAGACGTACATTAAAATAAAAAGGCAACTACCCTATTGACAATTGTAAAACAATATCTTATTGTAAGCGTTTCGTAAGAGTTCTGTTTACATCCTGTATATGTAGTTGAAAATGTACGGTAAAGATTTATGAAATCAAAATAGTATTGGGATGAGTGGACTTGCTCTTTTGTAAGAGCCTGACAGTCTCATTCGTCCGCACAATCAAGGCTGTATGACCATTTTCCATTTGGGATCAAAGAAAAAAAAATTGTTTGATTTGATGGCGTCTATGAGATATACTGACTGACATAACAAATAATGAGTAATAGTGACAACCCTATATTTAGACTGCTTCGTTGGCCGAGTGGTCGCAAGTGCGACTGCTGAGCAAGGGGTCTCGGGTTCGATTCCAGGGTCGGGCAAAGTATTACTGGGTTTAAAAATTCTCAGTAGTAGCACTGAGTCGGAATTGTGCCCGGTATATGGCAATAGGCCCACCCCTCATTACATGGGACTCATAACACAAATAGTGAAAAGTGGGTGTTACATTGTACAGTGGCATAATGTGCACCTCTGCCTATATTTATACATAGCCGATTGCCTTCTCTTAACTATAAGTGCATGAAATGTTATTGCTGGCATCTTTAAATTGAACACATATCTCTACAAACTACAAATCTATAATATATATCTCTGCAAACAGCAATATATTTATTAAATAGTGGAGCTAAAGAACCAATTATAAAAAAAGTTTATACCAAAAAGATGTTATTGCTATTAAGTATAGAGTATTGATAAAAGAGTTTTTATTCAATATTTTTAATATCTGTTAATAGATTTGGTTACCATTTTTTTAAAACTACATCTATATATATTAATAAGGGATGGTACCTGACTAACATAGTTATCTAGCTTAATATTATTATTATCCGTACACATTACCTCCTACAGGATGTAATTCAGGCACAAAATATTTCAGGCAACTAACAATATAATAATATTTGTCATAGAACTTAGAACTAGTTTTTCGCATCATGCAACCACGTCACATCAATGTGTATTAGTAGTTAGTTCTATTGGTAATTTTATTTAATTATTTAACTGCTGTCGTACTATTTGCTTGCTTTTTTTAAAGACCTGGGTGCTTACTCTTGAAACCAATCTCAATGTCAATGCAATTTCAATCCAATAAAATCTCAATTACTAATGTCAAAACTATACAACCCCTTTCGTAGCTGTTAAAATAGCATTCAGAGTACGGAATATAAAGCCAAACTCAATATCATTTAGTTCATTTAATATCCATGTAATTTGGATGCAATGGGCGTTAATGTTACAACTCAAGAGTACGAAATTTCACAATACCAATGTCGACAGATCGGAATTGGATTCAAGAGTAAGCACCCTGGTTTCATCTGCTGCTTAATTATGTTACTTACACTTTATATATAAAAAACAAAATTTTCAGTTTAGCTTTTAGAACTAATATTAAAGTTTTGTTAATCAAATATAAGCTTTATGTGTATTAATTGAAGCTTGTAATTAATACAGAGGACAGGTGCGGCGTAATTTCAACATGCAGCGTATAACTGGCATCAACTCGGGAATCAATCCTGCTATACCGGTCACGCGGCCAGTGCTTAATCGGAGGCAGCAAGATGACGAGCCACCACCGCCATTGCCATTACCAAGGTAAAAAGAATACACACTTTTTTATGGAATAATAATAATCCTTCATGCTGGTTTCGGCTACGGCGACCGTTTCTTGACTACTGGTGTCTATCATGGGCTCTCAAGTGGCTGGAAAATCCGACTTTGTTTGTAAATATTCTTCCACAGAGTGGACACGTGAGAACACCATATACATAGTTATAGTTAATTGCCGCTGGTGGTCATGCTTTTATTTCGTCACGTTTAGCATCTAGCTTTGCAAGCCGATGAATCTCAGTCTGATATTTTTTGTCGCACCAGTGATCTCCACTCTCCCCGGTTCGATGCAAGCTCTTCCCACCGAGATGTTACAATGGCAGATTTCCGTTCCGGACAGGCATTAACATTACGGTCTAGCAGAGTCTGTGCATTCCATGCGCCAAATGTCAGGTTATGTGATTAAATACGGTAGTTGACAGGTGGTCAAGTTCAATACTTTTATTGAAACGTTAAAAACGATACTTTTCTATGAATTTTGTATTGGATCGCAACTTATGACGTCATCATATTTCCGCGTCAAATAGCATACTTATTTCCTTAAAATTAGCGAGAGTAAATCCAAAAGTAGGTAAATTGTCAAACCAATAGATGAGAATATTATTTATTGCATTGAAAAGTTGAAACAATTTATTTTAAACCTAGGAAACTTTTTGTTATTGCTGCGTTGAGTACGAATTAAATGATGCGTAAGCAGCCGCGGTTCCTACTACCCTAAGTCCTTGGGGTGAGCGCTTTTTTAGGAAAGCAGTGCTTCCCTAAATAGGGCTGCTTTGTCACCTTGGGTGCTGCCGAATTTACCCTGTGCCCCCAGTTCTGAATATAAGCGGCCACGGTGTGTACTCATACTCCCAAAGTCGCTAGTATACCCGAGCGTACGGCGCGTCGCGTTCCGCGCGCGCTTCAAAGAGCCATCAGACCACCACACATAGGGCCCAACAGGGCCGATGCCGATTCAGAGTCACGGAGAACCTAACGGGTTACCGGGGCACCGGCTCGACGTGCAGGAGAAGGAACGGGGTGGTTTTTAGTCAGTATGAGTCTGGCACTCCCTCCCGCCTCACCCAGGCGGGAGCAGTCATGCGATGATTTTCCCCCTTTAAAAAAAAAGAATCGCTAGTGTACAGGCCTCGGACAAAGCTCGGTTTGCATCCAGCCGAACCTTCCTACCTTAGCCTATCGCCACCAGCCTTTGCCAGATCGGAGTCCATTAACGGAAACGGTCAGATACGCAGGATATAATATTTTAGTGCTCAAACGTTTTTGCATAACGTAGGAGCACTCTCTCGCCCATGCCCCCTGAATCCAGTGGAATGGAAAACCGTTATGACTGGAGGGTAGCAAAATCCCTTATTGCGGCCTTAAGGCCTTACTATAACTGCTAAGTGTCTTGCCACGGCGACCCTATTTTTATGGAATAGGGGGGCAAACGAGCAGACGGAACATCTGGTCGTCTCTTCAGTTCTAAGACTATGGAACGCCAATTGCCACGGTGCTTACATACTCATTGTATTGGCCCATGCATCGGTGGTCGTCTGCTAGAGTGTGCGTTACCCAGGCCAGATGTTGTCGAAAATGGTAATTTGAATCTTTGAATTACAGAAGCCGTACAACTAATTATCTATATTAGTTGTACGGCTTCTGTAATTGTTGCGCACATTTTTAAATTTGGTGCGCTTATAGTTTATTAATTATTTCATAAAAACCTTTCCTGCTGGGGTAACGTTACCCCAACCAGACCTTTTTCTTTCTAATGGAATTAAATTAGTTGTCTAGATGAAGTAAATATTCTTTTATCGGTTGCGAAGTAATTCGAGATTTTGCTGGGGTAACGTTTTTGGTTTTGCTAAATCTTTGAAATGGTTTAGCGGATTATTATCATATTTTGTACATAGCTTCTAAGGAATTAATTAAAATTTGTGCTGCAATAAAAAAACCAAAATAATACACAGCTTAAAGGTTATTTCATTAAATAGAAGAACACTTCAAATAGTTACGTAGTTTTTTTTAAATAATACAAAATAAGGCACAACATTTACTTCATCTAAACCACTAATTTTATAGCTAGTAATTATTTAAATATTCCGATTAGAAAGAAAAAGGTTTGTCTGGGGTAACGTTATCCCAGCAGGAAATGTTATAGTGAAATAATTAAAAAACTGTAAGCGCAACAAATTTAAAAATGTGCGCAACAATTACAGGAGCTGCACAACTAATTATCTATAAGATAATTATCTATAAGATAATTAGTAGATTCAAATGACCATTTTCGACAACATCTGGCCTGGGTAACGCACACTCTGCTAGACTATTATCTCTTTCGCTCTACCGTAAATGGAAAGTAATATTTATTACATAAATATTTTGGAAATATATACTAAAACGCTTTAAATATATTTTCAGAAGTATAACACCGTCAACGTCTGGACAGACTCCACCGCGCGACCCTGAACCTAGCGACAATCATACCAAAAATCTCATCCGACAAAACAAAGAACGGCTACTATATTTCAAAGAGGAGACTAATGAAGGAAGAGGTTTTATAAAGGTAAGTTCTTATACGCTTGACAGTATTACAACATAATTAGGAAATATAAGAAGTCATTTTGCTTATAAATAATGGCTTGAAATTATCACATGAAAAGCTTTTCAATAAAATAAAATTTATTGTTGTTTATAAATTTCATGATATACATATCGTTTTTGGAGAGCAAATATTTTATAGAGTTGGGAACACAATAAAAAAGCAACTATAATTTGGAAAACAAATGTAAAACGTAAAAAAATGTATTACAGGAACTATGTTTCTCATCTGACGGCCGCATCGTGTGTTCTCCATTCGGGCGGGGGATGAGACTGCTCGCCCTCAACGAGGAATGCTCGGAGCTCCCGTACACAGTGCAGAGTGTGACCGCGCCCACGCAACTAACGGAGATAGGCCAGAGCCTCGGCATCCACCAGGACCTCGTCGTCAGCACCAAGTTCTCACCGCGTTACCACATGCTCGTCACGGGCTGCCTCGAAGGCAAGATAGTGTGGTACCAACCCTTCAGTGGCGAATTCTAATACAAATACTGTATGGATCATTCTGTACTTATCACAATTTTGACATTTTATAACTAGCTCAGCAGCTCAGCTACCATACTGCCTGACTTTTCTGTCAGCAGACATACTTAAACTGTGACTGACATAGTTACTGATCAATCAATCATGATAATATTTGACATTAGCATCCAATCCAACAAATATAGTAGTTTAAGCAGTCAGTATCAGTTAAGTAGAAGGCTTGATACTTAAGTTACAGATAATTATTTTAGATCATTTTCTCTTAAGTAGAATCAGTATGAAAACTTTGCCATTTTTGCATTTGGATGTCTGTAATCAGTAGAGTTTAGTCACTTTCTAAATTCTGCAGTTACAATAGTCACATTTTATTATGAGGAATTTATATATAAGGCTGAATATAAGTGTATGTAGTCGGAATGATTGTTACGCTCTGGCTGGCTGGTTTTCGCAATGATCTATTGTAGTTTTTAGATGATATTTATAAACAACCCTTGTATAGTCATACATTTGATATATATGTAGTAAATGTTCTCAAATATTCTTGGACGGCCAGAACGCCCGCCAGGTTGAGATAATGCAGTTATTACTTAATAAAACTTATAATTTACCGAATGTCTGAGTTTGATTTGTCAATAGACTACTAGTTACCAGTTAAAACTGTGATACATATTATAAAAGTGACATTATAATTGATTGTACGCTCGGTCCTACGAAGTACTATAGTCAGAATTTTAATTCGATTCCAGATTTGACAATTTCAGTGTTGCAACGTTATGACAAGTACTAAATAGTGACGTTGCGAAATTATTCGATATGGAAATGGAATATTTCTGGATCGATTCTTCTCGTTTATAATTTTACTCTCGTAAACTAAGTATATTAGGAAATTGAATATTTCTGAACCGACAATTTAGTTATGACGTATAATTAACGATCTGAGACTTTTCTTTTATAATTGTGTGTGAAAAAAATAAAAAAACGTAATCATGAAGGAACATGACAAATAAAACAGATAGATGTATTATGGTAATAAGTTATTTTATAAATTGTCGCCGTCATCGCTATCGCTACCCTGTCACTTTCTGTAACATTTATTATAAAACACACACTGATTGTTTATCGATTTTTGTGTGCATCACTACACTATTATATGTGGTATCATTATTTCACAAAATGACAGTAGCTATTGTCAAATCTGGAATCTAATTAAAATTCTGACTATAGGACTTCATATAAAACTAAGAAGAACTAAGGTAGGTTCCACGGACTGGTTCAGTTCTGTTTCATATTGTAACACTTCCTACCAGTTCCTGCTCTAATATCAACAGTGCCACAACCAACGCCATCTTGTGTAAACATTCTTAGTTCCAATATTCAATAATGTTCTACAACTAACGCCATCTTGTGAAAACATTATAAACTGCTTAGTTCCGATATCGACTAATGTTCTACAACTAACGTTATCTTGCGTGGATATTATAAACCTTACTTAGTTCCGGTGTAGTTCCTATATAATTATTTAATTATTAATGAGTTATTGTTAATTACAAATTCACTATAAATTATTAATTTGCATTGACTATATTATTATAATATGATTGTAATTTAAATGTTTATTATCTAAATAACTAATTACTTTATGGATGTTAAATTGACTAATTGATTGCTTCCGGTTGTTGTTCGTTGTGCGCTGTGATTTTTGGAGGGACATTATTAAAAACCTGCTTCGAGTTCGAGGTGTGCATCTTTTATTTGGCTATTTGCTTCACCTATATAATATAATTTTCAACACCTTATCATAGTTCAGAAGTGGGATGGAGGGATTCCACGGTCCATATTATCGCGGTCTCGGGAAGAAGTCGTCATGTTCGGAATCTTCGACGGATGAAGGCGGCAAAGAAAATGGACGTTTTTTTTCTGAAAATGCAAAGGATCAGCCATCGACGAAAATACGAAGAATCACTTACCTGGACACAGAAATCATACCGAAATTTGATCCAAGTAAGAAATTTATGAACGTGAAAGGATGGCTACACAAAATAGATCAATTGGGAGATATAAACGGCTGGGAAGAAAAGGATCGCATCTTCTGCATGCAAACTCGATTACGAGGTGCTGCACGTGAGTGGTACGATGATTTGGAGGATTACAGCGCCACGTGGAATACGTGGAAGGATTGGCTGCTGAAAGCATTCCCTCGATCCACCGATTTCGTCGATCGTTTAGAGGAAATGCTAGCACGTAAGAAGTCCAATAGTGAAACGATGACGAAATATTACCACGACAAGATATCTCTGATGAGAAAATGCGAGCTCGAAGGAGAAAATGCTACCTCTTGTCTCATACGTGGACTCCCCGCTGAATTACGCGCCAACGCGAAGGCTTGTGGCTACAATACGCCTGAGGAGTTATATTACGGGTTTCTGTCGTCTCTGGACAACTATAAGAAGATAGAAGATAGGGCTGGACCGAATTTGGCTGGATCAAAGTCAAGGTCTACGTGGCGACGAGGATTCGTCACCGACTACCCGAAGATTTGCTACAATTGCCGGCGGACGGGGCATGAGGCGAAAGACTGTCGGGCTACGCGCTGCCTGACTTGCCAGCGCATCGGACATTCTTCGGATACATGCTGGTACGGCGCCGGGAGCTCACGAGGAACACCGGCGTTACAAACGTATAGGAATCAACAGGTACGAAATATCTTCCACATTTCTACCGAAATAATTTCTGATGTGTACAGGAAACGAATCAATATCAATAATGAATTTGAGGCTTTTGGGTACGTAGACACCGGCAGTAAAGTTAATATAATCTCTTTACAAATAACTAAAATTCTACAACTAATAATGTCGTCTTCCGATGTAATTATGAGAGGGTTTGGTGGGTGTCTTATCAACTCCTTAGGAAGAACTAATTTTACGTTACGCATTGACGGGTTAAGTATCCAAACGAGTGCAGAGGTAACAGATGCTAACTTGAATAACATTGATTTGATCATAGGCCAACCAATAATAAATCGGAATGATCTAATTCTAATTGTAACTGCAAAATCAGTAACATTCGTTGCGAATAGCGATGATAACCTAAAAGATATTTCCTTGTCTTACCAAGATTTTATTTCAAAAGTGCCCTTATTTTTGTCATGTGATATCGAAGTGTTGCCGGGTTCAAGTATCGAAATGTGTGTTTATACTAATTATGATTTGACACCTACCGCTATACTTGCTACTCGTTCCGTTATATGAATTAGGTAAAGAATCGTACTATATACCGCAGATAATTAGTCGACCGAATAACATACGATTACGATTAATAAACTTAGGCGACTCTCGTATTAAGTGGCCCGCGGGTAAATTAGTAACGCGCGCAGAAGTAATCATGACTGACGACGTAGGCTTTATTAATAATAGTCAGAGTTCGATTACTAGTCCTTCGCTAAACAAGATATTTTCTTCTTCCGATTTAAATATTGCAATATAGATGATAAATATTCTGAATCATTACTAAATTTATTAAATAACTATCGCTCTTGTTTTGCGGAGTGCAGTAGTGAGTTAGGTTGCACGGATCTAATAGAAATGCAAATATCGACAACAACTAATACACCAGTTTATTGTAAGCCATACCGATTATCTTACAAAGAAAATGAAATAGTGCAGGAAAAGGTAAATGAATTAATGTCCGCTGGTATAGTCAGAGAATCGAACTCTGAATATGCTAGTCCTGTGATTCTAGTCAAGAAAAAGGCAGGTGATTATAGGTTATGTGTGGATTATCGCGCCCTGAATGCTCGTACGGTAAAAGATCGGTTCCCACTACCTCATATTGACGACCAGGTAAATAAACTCTCGGGGAAAGTATATTTCACCGTTTTAGATATGGCCCAATCGTATTATCAAGTGAAAATGTCGGGAAACTCGATCCACAAAACCGCGTTCATAACATCGTCTGGCCAGTATGAATTTATAAAGATGCCGTTCGGGTTGGCTAATGCGCCAGCAGTTTTCTCTCGATTAATCCGAAAAGCACTTGGGTCACTCGACAATAAGATAGCCACCTATCTTGATGACGTCACATTACCGTCTGTCACTATAGAAGAAGGGTTAGAATTATTGGAAACTGTACTAAAACTACTTTCTCGGGCAAACCTTAAACTAAATTTAAAAAAATGTTCCTTTTTGAAAACTAGTGTAAATTATTTAGGTCATGAAATTACCGAAGGATCTATACGACCCGGTCAAGCGAAGATTGACAGTGTCATTAACTTTAGGCAGCCACGAAACGTTCATGAACTGCGTCAGTTCATTGGATCAACATCATATTTCCGTAAATTTGTTAAAGGGTTTGCTGAAATTGCCAGACCATTGACTAGTCTAACAAAGAAAGATGTAGCATGGGTATGGGGTTCGGAACAGGACCGCTCTTTTAACCGTCTGAAAGTGATACTAACTGAACGTCCTGTTTTAGCAATATACAACCCATATGCGAAAACAGAAATTCATACTGATGCGAGTAGTTTAGGGTTAGGCGGTATTCTACTTCAGTATCAAGATGACGGTGCTTTGAAACCTGTAGCCTATTTTAGTCGCGTGACTAGTCCAGAAGAAATGCACTATCATAGTTATGAGTTGGAAACTCTCGCTGTTGTGGAATCCTTAAAACGATTCCGAATATATGTGACTGGTATCCCAGTAAAGATAGTAACAGATTGTGCAGCATTGAGGACAACACTTACAAAAAAAGACTTAATTCCCCGAATAGCTCGTTGGTGGTTGACTATCCAGGACTTTGATACTGAAATCGAATATCGCGCCGGGGACCGAATGAAGCACGTAGACGCACTCAGTCGTAATCCTATTCATAGTATTCCTATAATGCGTATTGATGAGGCCGACTGGCGTCTGACTCTGCAGTTACAAGACGATGCTGTGCAAAACATAATCACCCGCTTAAGTCAGGGCACGGATAATTCAGATTTAGCCAGTAACTATAAAATTATTAATGGGTGTCTGTTCCGTAAAACGTTACACGGCGATAGATTTGTTATACCTAAACTTTCGAAATGGTCACTATTACAGAAATATCATGACCAACTAGGACATCTGGGGTTTGATAAGTGTGAAAAGGCTATAAAGTCCGAGTTTTGGTTTCCCGGTATGACAAGATTTATTCGTAAATACATAACCGCTTGCTTACAATGCGCCTATGCTAAGGGAAATTATGGTAAGGTCGAAGGCGAACTACACCCTATACAAAAGGTAGCCGTACCAATGCATACATTACACGTTGATCATTTAGGACCATTTTTAAAAACACGTAAGGGTAACTGCTATATTCTTGTTATTATAGATTCTTTCACAAAATTCGTATTTGCACTACCAGTTAAGGGTACAAGTTCTATAGAGACAATTAAAAACTTGAAAGAAGTTATCCGTACTTTTGGCCACCCCCACAGAATAATTACGGACAGAGGGGTAGCATTTACGAGTAGATATTTTAAAGAGTTTTCTGCCCAGGAACAATTTAAACATGTTTTAAATGCCGTTGCCTGTCCGCGTTCGAATGGGCAGGTTGAACGCGTAAACAGGACTATTATTAACGGTCTCAAC